CCAATCGAGTAAACTCTTTTAGACCTCGTCTCCTAATCGCCACTATTGTCAACCTCACATCTCTATTCCACAGCTAAACCAATGTCCAATAACAGGAAGCAAGCGTGGAGTTGCTCTGCATAAGAAACTCTCTTCTATCTGAAGGGTAGGTCGTTCCTCTCATGTACAGGAAGCATTGCCTCTCTCTAGATGAAACCACATTTCTCATAATGTATCCCAAATAGGGCACACAAATTCTATGCTATTTTATCGCAAGGTTATGAGTCCATAGTTAATAAAAAACTTCCCCTAGATGTTACATATATCTCAATAACCAAAATATATATCACAAAGCTTTAATCTTTTTGAATTTCTATTTTCTTTAAAAAACTTATCAATATCAATCTTAATCGTAATGTAGGATTCTTTTATGTGGGTTATTTTGGATAATCTCCGTGGCCATTGTATACATTTCTACAACAATGACACAACACCATTCGGTTGTACATATAAATTGCGGTCATGTTCTATTTTAAGTTGTAAAGGTGGCGATGGTCTAGGTGGCCTACCTTGACGCAGTAGGTCTGGCTCTAAAAAATTAGGCCTTAGTCCGGGCCACAAAAAAGTCGCCTAATGACAGCGCCTAAGCCAGGCCTAATCTGGCCCTTATTTTTTGATATTTTTTGCTTTATTTCTTTTTTATTTTATTTGGCCCACCTACGCTTGGCCCTAATAAGACGAAGGCCATGGCCCTCAAGGGAATAGGGCTGGGGCCAGGGCTATCCTGGCCCATTGCCAGCCCGATACTAAGGTAAGAATAGGCCTTGACGTATCTCTTTCCAAAAGTAGGCTGTGGCCTCTCTCTTAGGCTGTGGCCTCACTCTCTCTCTCTCTCATTTGCTTTGCCGTAAAATGTTTCCTCGGGGGAAAGAAAACTTTACTTTCAAATAAAGTAAAGTAGAGAGAGAGAGAGAGAGAGAGAGAGAGAGAGTAGGAACAGAGAATTTCTTAAATGATTCGAAGCCATTGACTAAGAGAGAATAGAAGCGAATGCAAAGCTACATAAATAAAAAATAAACTTTCAAAAAGAGAATTTAAGCCTGAGTCAAACCAAATAACTGGTTAAGGGTCCTACAAAGAATCGACAAGAGCGCAGAAGTTTAGAAGACATATTGTAAGGCTCAGGGAATATGGAGATACACTTCTTAATGGTATTAGTTCATGGCTTAAGGTCAAGTACATGAATAGGTAGGGTCGCTTAGGTGGTTTTTGTGTCCCTTAATGATAAAAGTAATTTATACATTGTATTGCTCATGTCAAAAGCTACTGTCTTGTAAGGGTTCATCTTACATGACTGAGTGCTGTTACTCATGTTCGATACGTTTCATGCCTTTCTTAATTTACACCCACCCCATGTCATGAGTGCCCAAGTCGCTGCTCCTCAAGTGTCAAAATATAATGGTTTTCAATGACAAACTAATATTTTATAGAATAATGCAAAATGCTTGTGTCGGGTTACTCGAATAACTCGAGCGAGATGTCATACTTCTGATCCGAACCAATTAAATACTATAAGAAAAACATTTACAAACACTCATGAGTGAATTTCTACAGGACTTTATTTAAGATAATCTGAAAACCACCAAATCTATCCAACCTTAGCTAGATCTATCCACGTCTATCTTCAATAGTAGGATAAATCCACAAACAAGCAGAAAATCGCTAACTAGAACCCAAAAGAGGAATCGAAGTCAAACCAGACCATCGCAGATGTGTTCATATGTGAAACTCCGGCAGAAAGATATACTTTCTGCCTTGTTTTCCATGTAAACTCCATTGATCAGAGGGTAGAAAATAAAGGTTCTATCAAATTGTGGATCTGTTGCAAGTAGGCTAAAATGGTGTCTTTTTCGCAAACCACTGACCGTGTCAGCTAAAAAACATTTAGAACTAGAAAAATTAGGTAAAAAGAGGGAAATTTTAGAAAAGGCTTTTGAAATAGAAATGATGATGAAATTAAGCAAATAATAATGAAAAATTAAAGAAAAATGAAGAAATAGATTCATGGGCCTACTTGCAAGCCATGCCAAAGGCTCATAACCCAAAGTTGGCGGCTTGAGTGAGAGTCGGTTGTGCGAGAAGATCGTTCCCATCATTGATTGGAGAGTTGAGCCATCGACGGTCACATTTAGAGATTGATCGGAGTCAAAGGTGGGCCTTCGAGACGAGTGTGAACTATAGTGGTCTATGATAGTCCGATGGTGGTCCACATTGCAATTTTGTAGCTTTTGGAGTCTTTTTAAGAGTCCACATTGCAATTTTTCCTTGATTCTTTTGGGCCTAAACTTGTGCGCTCTTTTACATATTTTGCCTTTCGAAGGGTGTTTGGTGGAGGCATTGTCATTTGCATTTGAATAGAACAGTGATCCCCAAAATTTAGAGATAAAGCGAGTGAAACATGCTACACATAATAGCAGGCCCTTGAGGAATGATCTTTCTCAAACCAGTAAACACTGCTCGCAAATACAAACTCCCTTTTTAGCAAAGGCACCTGCAATTAGTTTCGGCCATTCGAGGAAATAAGGTTTATGTCGGGTCCAACTTAATGGGTGGATAGTGGCAACAAGGAATGTGTAAAGTGGAATCAATTTCTTCTTTCTATAAATTTCTTCAAATATATTCTTAGGCCCGTTTGGATTTGAGGAAATAAGGAATATTAGATATTTGAAATCCAAAGAAATTTATGGATTTTCAATATCAATGATTTTTGTCATAGATTCCTCAAATCTCTTGTTTGAATACACTATACAAAATTCATGGATTCCTTGCAATCACTTCCATGTCCATTGTTTGGTAACAATACTTGATACAATTTCTCGCTCTAAAATTTTTATCTACTCTCTCTCTAAAACTCAAAATTTAGGATAGTGTATCTATAAAAAAAATTGACATAATTTCTCCCTAAAATTTGATATAGTTTCTTTCTCTAAAATTTAATATACTTTCGATCCAACATTTAAATTTTGAAATTGTCTAGCTAAAAATTTTGATATAATTTATCTCTCTAAATTTTTTAGGTGTTTTACTCTCTAAAATTTAATATAATTTTTCTTTCTAAAATTTTAAGATACTCTCTCTAGAACTTAAAACTTGAGATAGTTCCCCTCTTCAATAATTTTGAGATAGTTTCTTTCTCTAAATATTTTTAAGTATTTTCTCCCCCTAAAATATGATATGGCTTTTCTCTCAAATTTTATGATACTTTCTCTTTCTAAAAGCTCTAAATTTTTTAGAGATAGTTTCTTTTTCTAAAAAATTTTATGTACTTTCCCTTTATAAAATTTGATATAGTTACTCTCTTAAATTTTAAGATGCATTCTCTCTCTAAAACCTCAAGTTTGATATAATTTCTATCTAAAATTTTGAGACAGTTTCTCTTTAAAATTTGATATAGTGTCTCTTTAAATCTTGATATACTTTCTTTCTCTTAAGTTTAAATTTTGATATACTTTCTCTCTCTAAAACTTAAATTTTGAGATAGTTTCTCTTTCTAATTTTTTTGAGATAGTTTTTCTCTTTAAAAATTTCATGTACTTTCTCTATCTAAATTTTGATATAGTTATCTCTCTAAAATTTTAAAATACTCTCTCTAAAATATAAATATTACGATAATTTCTCTCTCCAAAAATTTTGAGATAGTTTCCATCTCTAAAGTTATTTCAGTAGTTTCTCTCTCTAAATTTTGATATAATTTCTATCTCTAAAATTTTAATATATTTTTTCTCTCTAAAATTCAAGATAGATTCTCTCTAAAAGTCAAAATTCGAGATAATTTCTGTATCTTAAAAACGAGATATTTCTATCTAAATTTTATTGACAGTTTCTCTTTCTAGAATTTATAATAGTTTCTAAAAGTTTAAGAATACTCTCTACAATTTTAAGAATACTTTCTCTCTCTAAAACTTTAAGATTTGATATAATTTATCTCTAAAAAAAAGTGCGATAGTTTCTATCTCTAAAACTTTTTAGGTACTCTCTCTAAAAATTGATATAGTTTCTCTTTAAAAATTAAAATAAGAGATTGTTTCTCTGAAAAAAAAGTTGTAGTTTCTCTCTATAAAGAATTGAGATAGTTTCTCTATATGTACTTTCGCTCTCTAAAATATGATAATTTCCATCTAAAACTTAAATTTAAGATAGTTTCTCTCTCTAAATTTTTGAAATAATATATCCCCCTAAACAATTTTGGTACTCTCTCTAAAATTTTAACATACTTGCTCTCTCTAAAATTTTAACATACTTCCTCTCTAAAATTTTAACATATTTTCTCTCTAAAATTTTAACATACTTTCTCTCTCTACAATTTTAACATACTTTCTCTCTCTAAAAATTAAAATTTGAAATAATTTATCTCTAAAACTTAAAATTTAAGATAATTTCTCTTTCTAAAATTTTGAGATAATTTATCATTAAATTTTTTGGTAACCTCTAAATTTTTAACATACTCTCTAAACTTTTAACATTCTCTCTTTAAAAATCAAAATTTGAGATAGTTTCTCTTTCTAAAATATGATAGTTTCTCTCTAAAACTTAAAATTTCATATAATTTCTCGCTCTAAAATTGTGAGATAATTCATTTCTCTAAAAAAATCGGGTACTTTCTCTAAAAGTTAAACTTTGAAATAGTTTCTCTCTCTAAATTTTGAGGTAGTTTCTCTCTTTAAAAAATTCAAGTACTTTTTCTCTCTAAAATTTTCATACTTACAAATGCTCCCTATGTTTCGGGTCGAGGGAGCAAATGAGTGAAATCCATAGGCCTTCGAATTTCAAAAAAGCAGGTTTTGGTGTGAAAATGAAATCATGGAAACGTAGGTCTTATTTCCATGATTTTGATTTTTCTTATTTTAAGTATCCTAGTCATTAAGCAATCCAAACCATGAATTTTGGCAATATCCAAGATATTAAGAATCCATGCTTTAAAATCCATGTACCCAAACATGTCTTGGTTTTCCAAAATCTCAGGTTCAATCAAACAAGAGACATTTACTAGAATCACCAAAATTATAAATAGTTTATAAAGCAAGGTGTATTCCATCATATCAGTGTCTCAAGAAACAAACCTCAAGGACCACCATAACCGGATTGAAGTAGTTTTCCAGAAGACCGTTGTCAAGCGTGCCCTAAAGTGACACATAAAGCATAAAATGACACCTTACCAAGTTGCAACACCACGCCATGTCCATGTTCCAAGAAGAGAAACTATACTCCACTCTAGGGCTGCTTCTGCTCACACACCATTCCATCCACCTACCTATTTCACATCTGGAAGAGGCCTTTAATCCTAAACTGAAACCCAATCCTCTCGATGAGCTCCCATGGCTACCACTGCAAACGGCCTGGAGTCAAGAGATGCCCAAAAGGTTCACAATGCTCATCCTCTAGTACCAGGAGCTTCAGAAAAGTTCTACCCCTACAATCTACACCAGCTCATACCAAAGCTTAAAGGAAAACTCAAAGTTCAATACTGGATTTTTCTGGCCTTTTAGACTTTAAATCCCTCTCTCAATCAACCCAGCTCCTTACGCTATACATTTGGTTCAGAATGAACCATACCTCCAATTGAGGAGACAGTGATGCACGGGAGCAGAGGCACAGTTTGTCCAACCATCTAGGTTTTAGTAAATAAAATGGAGTAAAGCAAATAAATAATGAAGCTCAGCATTCATTGTTAAGCACAGAGAGATCAGATTACGTTATACAACTTGTATATAACACGAAGTATATTTAATATGTTTTTTATTCCACCAATACACGTTTTTTTGCAGCTGTATTCGCACCTAGTTGTGAGGTTTTCTCTGATTAAATTTCAACGACTAGATCCATAAAAGCTCAAGGAGAGAGACTAACATAAGAGACATCTCTAACCCACCAAGGAGCACAAAACCAAACCTATACAAAACATTCAGTCATGCAATCACATACAATAGAGAGAGAGAGAGAAATTATGAATAATATACACAGAGAGAGGTTCTCAAATATACATGCTACGCTCCCCTGCCCAAAGCAACGAGATTGACCCCCATGTTACATATAACAAAATAATTCCTACACGAGTTTGACCCCCATGTTACATATGACAATAACTCCTACGTTAAAAATAACTGGTTCTTGAGAAAGGGAGGCTCTTCTGATAACTCATTCCTAGGAGAGAGAGAGAGAGAGAGAGAGAGAGAGAGAGCAGGTGCCATACCTCTCATAATAACCATACAAGAGCCGAAGTCAGCACAAAGAGAATAACTCATGAATCAGGGGCAGATGCACTCGATCTAGTGGAAGATGCTTCGCCTATAGAGACAGAAGCAAGGGAAGATGCCCATACTCTCGCATTCTTTGCCCCCTTCTCAAAGTTCCTCGTTTTGCAGAGTCTCAGCCTGCTCCAAACCCTCTTTATGTTGAACACATGGAGTGCCCTCTCGACCAGTAGGCTCCTCTCACCAAACACCCCTAAGCTAAGGTGCCCCATGTGCAGCATCCAAAGACTCCTGAGCCAAGACATACACTTTGGGAAGATATAAAGAAATGCTCGGCATAATAGAAATATAACCGCTAAAGCAAGGTAAGGTTCCCTTCTAACTAATTCTCTTGGGGTAGAATGCCATAATCGAATGGGATTCTCACTAGCCAAATTTGTTGGATGGTTAACTTCGAGAAATTCCTCTGGCTCGAAACCTGTATTTGGAAAAAAAGATTGGAAGACAATGTAAAAAGAAAGGGAACAAAGAAAGAAAGAAATCTCAAAGCCCACGGTTCAAACCATCTGATGTAGAAAAGAAAACCAGCAAACTTTTTGTGTTTATATGTGTGTGTGAGAGAGAGCGAGTGACCGAATTTACCTGTTGTCTTCTTGTAGAACTGCACCAAAGAATTGAGATCTTTGGGTCCATTGTACCGCAACCTTGACGTCCTGTTTGCTATCACAATTGTTGGGAGGCTGTGCACCCCATACCTTGAGAAGACACTGCACAATTGGCAAGCAGGAAAAGGCATTGAAAGACAGGTACAGACAGAAACAAAGATTGAAAAAGTGGGTATGCGGGATGAATTATTTGATAATCAAAATTAACAGGGGGTGCTTTTTCTCTTTAATAATTTAAATGGTGGCTTCTGTCAAGTTAATGCTCAGACCTGGGTGTAGCAGTGGACTCGCTGATAGCCACATGTCTGATATGGGGAAACATGGAAGCCAAAATATTAAAAGTCGGTCGCACATTGCGAGAGAATGGACACCAATCCGCATAAAAGAGTACAGATACATATGTATTACTCCGCTTTATGTTCAAGACTCTGTCCAAGGATCTCCCATCCAACTAAAACAGAAACAGAAGTGTCAATTTTCTTCATTATCGATACAAAACAGGAAAATAAGAGTTCAGCCTATAGACTTGTTTATAACCATTCCAACCATAAGGCAGTAAATATGACTAGTGCTTATCACTCACAATACGACTTTGGAATCAACCATGAACCTCCAAATTCTCATTTAAAGCTTTTTGCCTAGAATATAGCAGATTAGAAGAGATTTTAAGATCCAATCAAATGAAAACAAAACAAGCACAAGATAAAATACTAATAATCTTAATCTATGGCACCTACCAATAAGTACCACACATTTCATAGACAGAAAAAGAAACTATTTCAAACAGAACTTGCTAGAAAATCCTTCATATAGATTCCATTGTAATAAGTCATATAAGAATACAAAAGTTATAAAAATCTCTAAATAGATTCAGATGAACCCCCATATACCCAATTTGACAATTGCTGGAACGCTAATCTTCGATTACAAGACCCTAAAAACATGCTTGGAAACACTTTTAACTTAAATTAAGCCTAAATATCTGAAAATTCAGCAGATATTCATCCAAAAAAATGAAGTAAACTGTTATGTTAGAATCCAAGTATAACATGTTAAAAGATCATATGTGCCATTGGATAATAGAATATGATGGCAATGACATATTCAGCAGAAAGACATACAACCAAGTATCCTAGATGAGATAATGATTTAATAGCGTTTTGTGACCGATGGAAAAGGTGGATCAGGGGATGTTTGTCTACGTAGAAATTCTCGATGCCGATCACTCACTCCCAAAAGGGTGGTTCCAGATATCAAGTGGCATTTGGCAAGAGGACCCTTAAATCCTCTTCACTGTTCAAAATGGTAGGAGAGCCTTTTAGCAGAATGGTTGGAAGTGCTTCAAACAACTGATTGTCCAGCAATGTCATATCTGCAGTATGCACATGATAGACCATATTTTGTCTCCAGAAATGAAGAATTGGGTGAACTATGGCTGTTCCTATTGGGCTTTGAGGTACTCTCAGAGATGAAGGTAATGTTATCAAAGAAAAAAAAGATCATGCAAAGTCAGGTCCAAGCTAGTATTTTACATCCCTGGCTAGAAGGATTGGATGTGGGAGTGGACAACATACCAAGTACTTCAGTTTCCTGCTCCAAAATTTTCCTTGATAGGGTGATTGAGAGAGTATGTAGAAAACTTGAATCGTGGAAAATACGATTTCTATCATTGGGAGAAGAATAACTTTGAATAAACAACACCACCTCTAAGATTTACCCATCAACGCTATTTCCTTAGTTCAAATGTCAGTGTCCGTAGTTGAGGAGGAGCGAGTTAGGTGAGAAAAATTAGACTTAGGTGAGTTGGCCATGTGCAGCACGGACCCAGTACAACACCTATTAGAAAGTGCGAGTTGGTTGAAATAGAAAGTTCAAAAAGGGCAAGGGGTAGGCCCAAAAGGGCATGGTTAGAAGTAGTGAGAAAAGATATACTAATACTCTCATTGAGGGTATAGCACTTGACAAAGAGGAAAGGCAGATCAAAATTCGTGTAGCCGACCCCAAATAGTTGGAAAAAGGCTCTAATGATGATGAAATGCTAATGTCAATAGTTAAGACCATAACGGAACAAATGAGACTATCTTTATGGAATGGGGTTAAACCAAAAAAGAAATTCAATTAAGTAACCTGCGGCTTGGTATGTTCCAAAAGAGAAAGGGTGGGTTTGGAAACTCAAATAAACAAAACTAAACTATGTTAGGCAAGTGGAGGTGCAAGCTCTCAAAGCCTGCATAACTACTTTGGAAGCAGGTGATATCACAAAAATATGAAGAAGCTGAGAAGCAACGGTTAGTGACGAATCACACAAGTACTACACCATTATCAGGTAACTGGAGATGACTTAGGCAAACTAATGATGATAAACTCAAGAACACCACGATTATATATTGAATATGGATGGGTTATGACCAAAAAAATCTCATTCAAAAGACAAATTTCAACCTCTAATCAGTGAACAATGTTATGAACAGTAAAAACAAACTAATTTCCAGATTCCCAAACTCCCAAATTCAACCAAACAGAGGAAACTGAAATAACTAGGGAACACAAACAGGATACCAAACAAGGATTCCCTACTTCTAGAGCTCGCACTCGAAGTTTCTTGGGGAAATTAACATGCCCTAGGTTTCTATGGGAAATTACTGTTCCCTGTCGTCAAATGAAAGTTGAGAATTTGCAAATAATCCATGGCATCTTTTGATGTAAACAAGTCTTTAGAATCAAGGGCTCATCTTTTGATGTCAACATTTCTTTTGAATCAAGGGCCTCCTTCCCTCCCTCCCAGTTCATTGCTCACTCTCTACCTCTCACTCAACTCCCACTCTCAAGATTTCGTGGTTAACGCTCCCTATCACTCAACTCTCACTCTCAAGATTTCGTGGTAGTGCTCCCTGTCAACTCTCACACTCAAGATTTCATGGTTAGTGCCCTTTTTCCTCTCCACCATTAAGAACTAGAGCACAATTACCGCTACCTCTATGCTTGTTTCTAGAATCAAAGCTTTTCTCTTGATTCTCTATCAATATAGTTATTTTCTGGATCCCAAATCTTTGTAAGCACAAAAGCTAATCCTTTTCCCCATTGTTGAATCCCATACCCTCTCCAAGTGTTTGAAACAGTGTTTTAATACTCGGCACGGCTGCCGAACTTGAACCCTAGCCTGGCCATGATACTCAAGTGAGTCGGAGTGAACTCATCCAAGTCAACACCGAGCAAGAAAATATGAAAAATCCAAAAAATAGTAAAAATAGAAAGCTAAGTAAAAATAAAAATGATAAAAAACATATAAGTACATAAAAGATGGAAAATGATGCTGATATGATGAATTTGAAGTGAAATATTATAAAATTACTCAAATTTTTTATTTCAAGTTCTTATTGCTCGATGATAATCAATGCCCCAAATTCTTGCGAAATCTTCATCAGAGGACCCCAACAAAACTCTCAGACCACTTTGGGTTTCCAGTTCAGCTCTAGGAGGCCTGAGCTCTTAAAATTTAGGATTAATAATGAAATTTGAAAATAAAAATCTCAAAAATCTGATTTTTTTTGTTTTGTGTTTCTTTGGGGGAAATACACACATGATTGGATGAAGAACCCAAAAAAATGCTCAGGAAGAAAATTTTATCAAAAAAAAAAACCAACCATGGCCAAATTTTTGCTCATATAGGTACTTTTTGGCCCAAAATCAAAGAAAAAAGTAGGGTTCAGATTGCCACCACCTTCATATTTACCACCTCCAAGTTTCAAAGGGTTCTAAGTAACTCAGGTGAGTCCAGGCAGATTATCCAGAGTTTTCAAACTTTGATTTAAAACCCCACCTTCAGGCTCGGACTTGCCAAGGTCCCGAGTTAGTTAGAGGGCAACTCGGCTGAATCAAACCTCCGAACTCGTTCAAGTTTCAACAGAAATTACATAAAATTGATGGACTTGGGTTAGACTCACCATGATTCTTGGGGTACTCATCCTAACAAGGCGATCAGGTCTGAGTTACTCGGGTGAGTTCGAACACAGTGAGGGTGAAGTGTATGGAGATATGTCGGGTTAAATGTACAAAGAGACTTATAGGAGAAGATTAAAGTGAGGGTGAAGTGTATGGAGTAAAAAGAAAGAGGTTTATTGAGCAAACAATTTCTTGCATAGGGAACCAATGCAATCTGTAAATCCTCGTTATAATATTGCAAGGGAAGTCAAGAACAAACTCTGGAAGCTTCCCGAACACCTTGGAGATATGTCCGGAACATTGAAACAGAATTCAATTCGCATATCAAAACTCAAAAGAAAACAAGAGTTTCATCTCCCTTGTTTGGGACCAAGAGATTTGGAGGGGATTATAAGCCCCAAATCCTTTCACAAGTTTTTTGGGGGAATGGCTATATTTGCCCAACTATGGGCCGATGTTTTCAGGATTTTCTCGAGTAAATAAGTATTTTTGCCCTGCTATTTCATTTTATAGTAGGGGACACAAACAGATTGATTAACCATGCTAGATATCTCCTCATTTGTGAAACATATTCTCACTGCCACTACAGTTGAGTTTTTTCACATGTTGAACAGGCTAGGTCATGCCCATTTTGATAAGGTCTTGAAGCCAAAAAGTTGTCCATAACAATAAAAAGTATCTTAACTCAAAAGTCCCGTACACCCAGATGAACAACATGAAATGGTTCCAAAATTTGTTTCCAGCATTAGCAACAAATGAAAATGTGATTAGAAATTTCACACTCCTAAGTTTCTTTTATTTTTATTTTTTTGAGAAGATTACATAGGAATGGAACCTGAGAAGTAGTCCTATGAAAAACCAGCTGCTACTGCCTTGACCCAAGCCCGATTCCTTATCTTCTAAGCCATATCTAAAAATCAACCTTAAATGTGTATCAAACAATTTTCAGCGTCCTAATCATAATCCTCAGATGCGGCCAATGGCCTAGTATTTCCAGCTAACAATACAAGCTTTTGTTGTATTTTGATTAATATACAAATAAATTCAGAAAAGGGAAATTGTTTGAAATGTAATGGAATGCATTGACAGTCAATTATTACATCACAAGGGTATGAACAACATTTGAACCATAATTGGTGGTCAAGATAAGACTTGTATCTAGTTTATATGTCACCTGAAGTAGTCTTCAGATGAATATGAGTTAATTCATGCATGCTTAAAATGATATAAAAACATAAAAAGATATGCACCTGGAATGATATTTTATATTGCACCTTATGGAATATTTCTCTATCTATCTGCACTTTGGGCAACTAGATGTCCCTTCCAGCCACATATCTTAATAATAAAAAAGCACTATGAATTTGATAAATGCGGTCAAAATGACCACAATCTAGGACTTCATCCCTATAGCAAAAGTATACATCATGACGTTACTAGATGTAAAATTTCATTTTACAATTGGGTTAGTAACCTTTCTCTATTTGTGAAGCTCAAACATATTACTATATCGCACGAAAGGCGATCAATTTATTCTAATAGTAGTAAAAAAAAATTTATTTACGCCAATAGAAATTCATGTTACACCAGAGCATATTATTGAAGAAAATATATTTCCTTGAAGGTTTGGGTTATTATCAGCACAGTGGTTGGGTCATTAAGGGATCCGAATAATGTCCAGAGTCCAAATCCCACGACTAATTCCCCCCAAATGAAAATTTATCTTGATTGGGTAGGAAAAAACTAAAAAATTCAACTCTATTAATCTTCTTTGTTTTTCTCGGGAGTTGGTTACAGTATCTCTAATAATACAACCAACCCAACTTTTCTCCTCCATCTATGAGACACATCAACATTTTCTGACACTAACATTAGGAAGTTCTTCTATGTCATAATCATTAAAAACCAAAAAAAAAAAGTAAGAATTGTCAAGAACTCAAAATAGACAAGCCATTCCAATTTAGCTGACATCGAAAAGCACTACATATGGATATGAGTGGAACTTCAAGTTCAGCAGCCTTTCATCCAAAGAAATCTAAAGCACAAATAAATATCCCTTAAAACTCGCAAATGGAGACAGGACCTCCTCAGAAGGGCAACACTTTGCTGAGAACTTCAGTAATTTTTTAATTCTTATGAAAAATGTATTCTTAAAATGTTTTTCATTTTACACTTGTCTGATTAATGTATTGTACATAGACATCGCCAAAATTATCAGATTTCACATCAAACACCATCCAAATGTCTCTACATCCATTGTAATACCTCCCCAATACCCGTTGAGTGCTATGTTCACCACACCGCACTAGGCCGTGACCTTAGGCGGGACTAGTTGGCCAGGGCCCTTTTGGCAAGGGCTGAAATTGCCCCCGCCAAAAGGACAAAAAATGTCAATTTCCCCCCTTGAAAGGAGGGAAATAGTATTTAGAATACATTTTAGTCCCCCCCCCCAAAAACCCTAGAGAACTATTTCTTTGCATCAAAAACAAATTTTTAGCCCAAAATCAAAATGTTTTTAAGAATTGAAATTTGTATTCAAAGTTTTGAGTTTCTTGTAAAATCAAGAGGCACTCGACCCTAAATTTTTTGGGGATTAACGAGGTTGAAAATGAGAGCTTTGGCAACTGAAAGTCGCTGATTCAAGCCTACTTCAATTGGTTTTTGAAAGGATTGTAAATTTAAATCTTAATGTTTAGGGTTTCATATTTTTTGTGAGTATTGTGCTACATTATACTTTTTATCATTTTCTTGTTTTTATTTTTGGAGTTTGGCTTTACATTTATGATGAAACTTTATAAGTGTTTCTTTATTTTTGTGATTATAATACATTTTTGGCATGTTTGACGATGTTTCTAATTGATAATGCACATTTCAAAATTTATGACATATTTTTTGTTATATTTGGCTTTGTTTCTAATTTATAATGCAAATTTGAAATTGAAAACCAACCCCCCAACCCATCTCCCCCCCCCCAACCTTTCCTTTCCCCTGCCCCTCCATGCAGTGCCCGTCCAGGTCACTGGACCACCACCCAGGCCCAACCGTTGGGCTGTCTACTATTGGTTGAGTTTCTAAACGGCCACATTATAATAGAATACATGTTGCTACTAAAAGATTGACGCATCATCTAAATGGAAGAGTTACATATCATCATCATTTGAGCCTTATCCCAACTATTTGGGGTCAGCTACACGAATCTTGTTATGCCATTTTGCTCTATCAAAGGCTATACCCTCAGTCAAACCATATCTCTTCTCACGGCTTCCATCCATGCGTTTTTGGGTCTTCCCCTTGTCGTTTTAAGGCCTTCCACTTGAACCCAATCACCCCTCTTAACTGGCGCTGTATTAAGTCTACACTGCACATGGCCAACCCACCTAAATTTATTTTCCCTCCTCTCATCACCTCTTGAAGCCATCACTAAGTTCCCTCATATATATTCATTTTGAATTCTATCCTTTCTTGTCTTGCCACTCATCCATCTTGATCTCAGTTGCCAGCATCCTACGGGTAGATTGTTTCTTGACCGCCAACACTCCATTCCATATAGCATGGTTGGTCTTACATCCATCCTATAAAACTTCCACTTAAGTTTCATTGGCATGTAATAATCAAATAAAATCTCCACTTCACTCACCCAGCCCTAATTCTATGTGTGACATCTTCCTCAATCTCTCCATTCCCCTAGACTAAAGATATAAAAAATAATCCCTTTCAAGTATTGCTTAGCTATCAATATTAACTACTTCCTTGTTTCCACTCCTATTATTACTAAACTTGCATTCTGTATATTATATCTTAGTCCAACTAATTTTAAAAACTTTAGATTCTAGAACATACCTCCAAAGTTCTAACTTTGTGTCGGCACCACCCTAGTCTCAATTGTTAATTGTTAACCTCAACATAAAGCCGAATTGACTTTCTAATACACTCGTTTCATGTATTAGTCGTTGCTCAATTACTTTCCCCCACAACGTCATATTGTGGCTCATAATTTATATAGTTCTATGTCTCCTTTGTTCTTGTAAATAGGTGTCCAATATTTTTCTTCATTAATCTCGCATTTTCTTTATTCTCAACATCATGCTAAACAGCTTGGTCAGCCAGAATATGCCAATCTCTTCCATGCACTTCCAAACCTCTATCGGGTCCTAAAGCCTTTCCTATCTTCATCCTTCTCAAAGTTTCTTTCACTTCAGATAAACTAACCCTGCGAATGTATATAACCTTTGACTTCATTTATGTCGAAGGTTTCTCCTACCGTTGTGCTCCCAAAGTGTTTGTCATTTAACAATTTTTTAAAATAAATTCCCCATCTTTCATTGATCTCATCATCTTTCACCAACGCCCTCTAATCCTCACTCTTAATACATTTAATATGATCTAGATCCCACACTTCCTCTCTCATTTTTGTTATTTGAAGACATCTTTTTCTCCTTCTCTTGTCCCCAGTTTAGTATAGATCATTATATACCTTAACTTTAGCCTTACTTACTACTACCTTAGCATTTTTATTAGCATATTTAAGTTCTTCAACGTTTTGATCATTTCTATTACATTGTCAAGCTTTATAACATGATCATCTTTCACTAAAGTCCTTTTGAACATCATCACTCCAGGACCAATTTTTTTTATTGAATTTTTTTTCCCTCTAGATTCTCCAAAAACTTCTTTTACAGCCTTCTTAAAACTAAAATATTGATGCATGAAGGAAAAAATAAACAAAGAATCTTGTAGTATCCTTACTGTCAAGGGAAATGCAAATAGTAGTCCTCTACATCAAGAAGTTAAACACACACACACAAATACAAGATAAAAAATTACAAAGCCATCCCAAAGAAGATGCAGGAACAAAAACTGGAAAAGTAAAACAAACATAACCAAAGCTTTTAAAATAGGGATAGATAAGGCTTAACTAAATCGCACCACCCATCTACACTGTCTTAATATCAACCACAACATGAGTTCAACAGTATATTTTTCCTGACATGCTATTCAGTCTACTCTGTTTATTAAAATATTTTACATGACCCAAATGCTTGCCCACATCTAAGTTACGCAAACATCACCAAAGGAGGGTAATCATATTCCAGTAGAGGAAAACTGTACCTTGACAACGAATAACCCAATTTGCATTTCTCTATATCACATACAATTTTAACTAACACCATGGACACCCATTTCCCATAAGACTTGCAGTGTAAATTTAAACCAACAATTTCTCCAAGATAAAATCTAATCCGTAATCAGAAACATCCAAGAAATTCAATAATCTATGAGAATCCAGGAAAAATTCATAGAAAAGAGAAAGCCCAAGCCTTCAAATCATGAGTTCTAATTTTGAAAAAAACCAAGGGAATCACAAAAACCACAAAACCTCAGCAACCAAAACCCGACAAACCATATCTCCAAATGAACCTTAAAAAAAACTAATCCCTGAAAAGAACCAAATCAAACCAGCGAAGTGCATAAACAACAAACAATGGGATGGAAATGTATCAAAAGGAACAATTTGATGAGATGATTTCATCAAAATGCGTCACAGACACACAATATCAATCACGATAACAAAAATGATAATAATCATTGACTATGATGATGGTGGTCATATTATAGAGTGAGAAAGATGCACCTCTGATGCATTAGGGCGGGAAAGGGGGAGATCAGAGCATTGATCAGAGGTGGAAACAAAGGCGCCTTCAAGTGATTGAAGAGGGCATATGGAGGAAGCCGCGGCGGATCTATGTGTGAGAAGGGCCACGAATAACAAGATGACAGCCGCCATTGACAAAGGTAAGAGAGAGAAAAAGAGACGAGAGAGTAGATGTATATAAAGAGAGACTGCTCTTGTCTTTTAGGCGATGGAGGGTCTCCGTTCCTGCCCACAGCTGCCACAGAGGAACGAGAGGAGAGAGAAAGAGGGGTTCTTCTTCACCTAACAAACAAACATAGAGGAGAGAGAAAGTCGATTCTCCACTGACATATATTCTGCGACATCGCACGTGCGAGTTCCCAAGATGGACGGTTAAGATCATGATCAAAAGGGTGGTCACTAGATCAGCACCGTTGATTTAGAGAGAGATGCATTTACTCCAGCACTTTGAATGGCCTCTCTGTATCTTTCCTTTGTTGACGACCGTGTGGCCTTCTTTCGTCTCGTGATCTCTCTCTCTCTTTGAATCGAAGGTCTTCGGGTACCACCGTCTTTTTCAGAACTTAGTATTAAATATCATTCTACGCTAAAACTTTTTCATGCTCCCGCTAGAGCATGTGTTCATTTGATCTTTCAGACAAAACTTAGGCTAACAATACTATATGGATCCCAGATTTTGGAGTGTACCATCTTGAACCCAGAGACCAAACCCCTAGCTCTCTATATGCCTTAAAATAATGACATCCCAATATTGAACAGGAACCATCAAATTTTGGAGGGAGTATCTAGATGCTTAAGAGCCCAAAATCCTTCTTTTTTTTTTTCCTTCAAAATAATCACATAGATACTAAACTTTGGGAGCAAAATCGTTTCCAAGATAACCATGTTACTGGAATTCCTGTCATATCCACTAGAGCACGCTCTATATATAGTGTGTGAGCGGAGGGTCCGCCCCTAGGGGCAGGGGTAGACATTGTTTCAATGAAGTAAAATTTGTTATTATAAAAGTTTTTTAAAATATGATAAAGCTTTCTATATACCGCTAATTTTAGTGAATTTATGCGTCACTCTCTCCCAGCCATCAGATCTAAATGAATGGTTGGAATGCCTTCGGCCATAATGTCACAAGTGAGCCTTGACCCTTTGATCTAAAAGCAATAGCTCAAAATATTTTAGTTTTGATTTTTTTACGAATAAGATGAACATAAAATTTGGTGCATGTGATCAACTAAATGGAGTACACCTAAAAACATATTAAAATATATTTTTATGAAAATAGAATGACCAAATAGCCCCTAAATCATTCAAGGGTATTTCGGTCATTTTATAGGTACAAACGCATGAGACGATTGGATGCCCCAAATTTGCTGTCACTATGATTTGTAGAAAAAAAAAAAAATGTTTAGATGCGACATTATGATTGGGGTCATCTCAATCGTCTATTCAGATCGGACGGTTGGGAAAGCAAATCAAACAGCTGGGATAGGGGTGGCATATACAAATTCCCTATACCTCATGGCATATAGAAAGCTTTCCCTTGAAATATACTTCATGATATTTTATCATGGAAAAAATTTATATAAGGTTAACACCTTAAAATGTAGGAAAGGAAAAACATTTAATCCATCATCTTGACATCAAGGTGTATAGATATGACGAGAAAAACAGATTTCAAGTCGTATAAATAGTATTTCTTACAACAAATGATCTGGAATTCTTTTTTCAAGATTTTCATGTATTTATAAATCTGTTTGATTTTAATCATTTTTTGGAGTTTAAATTTTTGTATTAGATATAAAATTAGATTCCCAAACCATCCTAAGAATTTTTACTTACAAAATTTCATCTCATGACAAGGTTTGAATATGCAACTTACTTTGATTGTTGAAGGTTGCAACCTTAGGAAACCACACCCCTTTATAATATCAAATTATATGAGTGCCTCCCTCTTTCTCACAATTAAAATAATAAAACAAATGTAATAAATTCATAAGTTGTTGGATTTCATTGTCATATTTTTTAGGAGTGCTTGTTATTTCTATCCATGGATGGCAGATAAAGAAAAGAAAAATGCTTAAAAAGGGAGAAGCATGAATGCAGCATACAAACAGTATGCAACGTGACAGCCCGTTTAGACTCAACCATGAATGGCAAAGTGGACACTCCGAAATTGTGATGCCAAGTTATTTAAAACATTTAAAGAAACATGAACCCAAAAGAACAACCAGAGAGCAAACACATTTGGGGCTAAATTCACTCGTGCGTTCTGTATCATGGAAATACAGGTCTTATATATTATTGGGAACATAATAGTTCCAGAGGTTTAATCCCCTGTGTTACAATTTACATCAGTATGGAACTATACCGAATACCCTTTATTTGGGCTTTAAAACCCTATACATACGATTCTAAGAAAATAAAAATATATGGACACATGAAAATGAAACAATACGAAGGGCAGTATGAGCTCATATACCTGAAAGTATACGCAAGGGTATTGTTCCTTGGGACTGCTCCTTCTTCGATATTGGATTTCAAGCGAGTCTAAACATAATAACTTATCCCTCTCTATTGGATTCTTGCACTATAGTTCAGAAAAACAGTCATACCATTAGACTGCTTCTTAACTTACTACATATACAATTGCTCTCTTCTATCTCTCTATCTCTATTCATGCAAATATCACTGCATATGCTAATCCAACTTCGACAATCCAACAAAATTGAACCTCAAAAATCAAACCCCTTTCTGATCAACATAGAAGGTTTATCATTCATGAGTTGATAATTACAAAAACTTGCAATCTTTATCCTTATGTTGATCATATATCTTTATCTCAGACAATTTACCTTGAGATGATAACCATGTATCTTGCTTGAATTTGAATGTCTTCATAGGTGTCTCGTGATGATAACCATGTATCTTGCTTGATTTTGAATGTCTTCATAGGTGTCTCGTGATGATAACCATGTATCTAGTCAATTCTTTTCTCACTGATATTCGAATTTAAACTTGCAGCTTCCAGATCCAACGTGAGCATCACGTGAGAAATGTAAAGGATATGTTACTTAGCCATCGTCAGTTAATCTTTTGCAGCATAGTTCTGCTATGTTTTCGTACTTCTTCAACTGCATCATGATGATAAATCCATTGGTCATGAAATTCAAAAAACTGAGGGATGACTCAAAGATGAACACAATACTCCAAGTCTCACTTTAAATAGATCACATATGAGAGAGATCTAGTCCATCCAAGTTAACCCGTCTCTGCTGAAAATTGCATCAGCAGGATCAACATATTGTGGATGCAATCGTTTCTACTACATTGATCAATACTATGCCACACCTTTTAAGAGAGAGGGATCAAGTCAATAATCCAGTGGTCCTAGTCCCATGATAAAATTCCTCGAATTTAGAGACAAATCTCAATTTTTGTGACCAAATGTCACCTTAGCCTTAACAGAAAACACATAAAACTTTACAGTTATTAATTGCCGATGTATATGGATGATGGGTTAAGCCATCTCCGAATGATATGAAACTTTAGGGGAGGGATATAATGCCTCAAATATGATTCATTTAAACTCTCAGTTCAATCCCAAAATAAAGTTTTGGGGCATCGGACAAGGCATATATTGATCGCCAATGGAAACAGATGTCAGGTTAAGCGAACTCCGAACAATGCCCAAGTTGTATAATTCTTGGACTCATAGGTAGATGAGGCCTCATGGAATATATTTGCAAGGATATACCTACTTATATTCCATTCATCAAGCACTTGGCCCTTGACCGATGACGGATTCAAAGAAACATATGGCATCTCATCAAAACTCCTCCTGTATCATATGAAGCGGCATATATGGGCTATGAAAGTATATGTACCCAAGAGTTTTGTTGGAAATTGAAACGACTTCATGGTCTCTTATTTTCGATCGTTAGTCACGATGCACATGTGTGACCGACAATTGATAAGAAATATATCATGCCACATTAAATTCCTCCAATTATCATATGGAGAGGCATGTAGGAGTCTTAGGTGTATATGTATCCCAGAACCTGTCTCACATTGAGATGGTTTTAATATCTTCTATTATTAATCGTTATCAAAACGAACATACTTGATTGATACTTAACTGATATCTGTATCAAATTCCTTTAACATCTTGCCAAGAGGCATATATGAGCCTTAGGAGTATATATATCCAAGAATCTATCCCATATTGAAATGGTTTGACTCCTTCTACTATTATCAGTTGTAAGTCAGGACATATAGGGGCTGACTGACAAGTCAAGACTCTGAAGGCATATTGATGATCAATCATGGATATATAATATCTTTTATATATTCATATCATATTAAGCGCATATCTAGCATGTATCATCAAGAACCATGCATATATCTTATCTATTGTTTGTTAAAACATTCATTCAGCGTCCGTCAAAGATTTGGCCTTATAATAATATTTTTAATTTATGGAGCATTCATTAAGATGTACTTAATCTTGTATGTTACTAAAAGTACACCCACCACAGAGATAATTTGTTTTTGTGCTCATGTTCTCTATTATCGGCTGAAGCATAAGTACGACTCTTATCCAACATCTTCTGTATGGACAGATGAATAGACATGTAGTATTTTGCTTGTGTGTTTCTCGTGTTGCAGTAAATAACTCCTCAAGGATAATATAAGTCAATTTATATACAATAATACTATTTACCTTTGATACAAGGAGGTTACAATTACTTGTAACCATTTCATGAGAAATCAAATAGCCTTAGTATGCCACAAAGTTTGAGAAAATTCCTTTTGAAGTTTGAACTTGGTCAATGCAATAAATGCATCTATCCAATTTCACATCCAATGGTCAAGATTAATTGTGACCACCTTGTGTCCAACGTAAATAGTATTATAGAATACTTTTTCCATATAAATCATGTAAATGACTGATTTCTTACATAATGGGATGCTAAGAATTTTTGTACTTGTTTTGTAGTAAGATTAATAAAAGGATAATAAAGTTCAATCTTTTTAAAGGAAAATGTTTTCATAGAGTTGCAGTCCAATGAAAACAAGTAGGGTTGTAGCCATCTACATCGTCCAAGATCATCCATTAATTTGGACGGTTCAGATTGCTTAAGGTCAGCGAAAGGTACTAGGTCACCGGAAGCCCCGATTGCCTCTTTTTCCTTTTGTTTTTTTTCCCATTTCTCTATCTTTCCTCTTTATGAATCCACTTTCAACCTCGCTGTCCAACTTCTGTCTCTAACTCGATGTCGCTCTCAAAGCTTCGCCAACTTCTCTTTCTAACTCGTTGTCTCTCTCAAAGCTTCGCCAAGGTTTATGAGGGTCTCTTGGACTTCTTGTAAGAGAGAAATTTGGTGTGGATCTTGTTAGTAAAAATAGATG